CAATGGGGGGGTTCTTGTCGACCTGACCCCTCTTGTGACAACAGACGTTGTGGTAAGCCAATCTTGAATAAGAGGCCCACAAAATCAAAGCCTCAAGCACAAAATCAAGCACCAGGGGAGCTTTGGGGGCACTCCCCAGGGAGTGCCTTATCTGTAACTTTTCATGTGACTGTGTCTAATGTATAGTATTTCATTAACATAACCAAGTGTGAATGGTTTTTGAAATCAGGTAGAAATCATCCAAAACCCAGCTGGTACTCATCTGAAACTCAATTTCAACTAAACTGGACACATAATACAAATTGGCTTCAAAGTTTTGTCATCAAAGTGGAAAGCATTGCTCAAACAATTTTCATACCAGGGGTTACTTCCAGCTGAATGGGGCCAGAAATGTTCCACCTTCATTTTATGGTTGGACATACTCCTCTTGTGATTGGTGTGTGATATGTCACCACATTGCGCTTGAGTGCAATGTGGCAACATGTCACACATGTTTCACACCAAAGGGGCAAGTCCATCTGAAAGGTGTCTGAACTGTGACACCCTCATGAAACTAGTGGACATTCCCCTCTGGTCTCAACAGTGTGTGATATGTCACCCTATTGTATACGAGTACAATAGGGTGAAAAATCATAGACTGTTCTGAAGAGGAGGGGCATGTCCCCTGGGTCCACTCAGATGGACATGGCCCTCTGATGTGAAAAGTGTGTGATATGTCACTGCCTTGCGCTTGGACCGTTGAGTTTTAAGAAAATTAGATGCTACCATTAAATTCTACACACTTTTCAATGTAGGAAACAAATTTAAAATTCCAAAAAAGCATAAAAAATAAGGTGCACACATGTATGCAAACAATTAAGTGAAAAAGTGATGAATTAATTAAAAAAACGTGTCAAATGCGGCATTCAAGGTGTAGTTTTTGCTTTGGGGAAAAATGGTTGATACCATAATTTTTCAAATGTCTTAAAGTGTAGGAAGAAAATTTGAAATGTCAAAAAAGAATGAAAATTAACCTGTAGAAATTTAAGTGAAAAAATGTGTCTATTTTCAGTATTAAAAATGAAACATTGAGTTTTAAAAAAATTGGATTGCACCATTAAATTCTACGCACATTGAAACCTTGGAAATAATTTTAAAATTTCAAAAAAGCATAAAAAATAAGGTATATACATGTATGCAAACAATTAATTGAGAAATGAGTGAAAAAAAATAATAATTAATAATCAAAATTCATTTTTATGGAAAATGGTTTTTAGCATTAAATTCTACGCCTTTTATAGTGTAGGAAACAATTTTAAAAATTCAAAAAAACTCGAAGAAAAAGCCATAAAAAATTCAATACAAAACCGTGTCTAAACGCGGAAACTGTGTGTGCTGCGTGCAGCAGAAACCGCGTCTAAACGCGGAAAAACCGGGTTTTTTTATTAATGCCCTTAAAATATTAGAGGAGAAGGGTTAAATTACAGAACAAAATGTATAATTATTAATGGGTTAAATCATTGCTAAAACAAATCACAAAACAGGCCTAAAGATATTCAACTACTCATGAATGAAAATTATACAAATAGCCTAGAGAGATACATAAAAGATACTATATCTAACTTAGACTGGTATAATCAAGTTATTAATTAGAGAGTACCTCACATAGTAAAAGTAGAAAATAACACTTATACTAATTAGACTTAGAATACCAATCTCATAGCAACTAATCTAAGATTAGGCCTCATATAGCAGAATTACAACCTCTTGTACTAAAAGGGAACTTAGAGATCAATTCATATCAGATTAGATCATCTCAGAGTATTGAATTCCACTCTAGAAGTACCATCCTCAGACGCACTTGTGTTCAGGCCAAAAGACTCATGTACTGTAGAAAAATTGTCTATAAATAGGGGCTCTTCTGACCATGTTTTCTGGCCTCCTTATGTTTGCACCAGAGAAGTAATTAGAGATAGAGGCTTGGCTAATCGACTCCCAAAAGTTGGAGAGTCGACTCCCAAACCCCCAAAACCCCCGAATTTGGGAGTCAATCCCCCAAACCTGTCAGCAGGTTTGGGAGTCGGATCCCAACAAATTGAAATAAAAGAAAACTGAAACCCCCGAAGGGGGAGGGAGTTGACGCCTCAAAACCCACTGGGTTTTGGGGGTTGTCAACCCAAAAACAGCCCCCAACGGCCTGGAGGAAATCCTCCCGGCCATTGAGAGTACACTCTCACGGAGGGAGTACACTCTCAACGGACGAGAGTGCACACCTCCTGGCCGTTGAGAGTGTACACTCTCATCGGCCAAGAGG